TCCGTGTCAACTACGAATATTCCTTTCGCGCTGGGGTATCCGAGAATTGGCGTTTTACAAAGCCGTTCTTTTAGTTCGCGAAAGGCTTGCTCACAATCCTCGTCCCATATAAAGGCACGTTTCTCCTCTGTCAATCGATGCAATGGCTTGGCAATGTCCGAGAATCCTTTCACAAACCGTCGATAATACGAGCATAATCCAAGAAATGCCCAAACTTGCGTTTTGTCTTTAGGTGTTGGCCATTCCTTAACAGCGGCAGTCTTGGCTGGATCACTCTCAATTCCTCTCTCAGAAATAACATGTCCTAGATAATTCACTTCGCGCTTAAAGAAAGAGCATTTCTTTGGACTCAACTTTAAATTTGCTCCACGCAGCTTTTCGAGTACCCTTTCCAATTTTCTTAGATGATCGTCAAAATCCCGTCCAACGATGATGATGTCATCGAGGTAAACTAGGCAGGTTTCGCCCAGCAGTCCCGCCAGCACCTGTTCCATCAAACGCTCAAAGGTTGCCGGTGCATTGCATAATCCAAATGGCATCACCTTAAATTGCCAGAGTCCCTTCCCAGTTGAGAATGCGGTCTTTTCCTTGTCCTTGGGATCCAAATCCACCTGCCAATAGCCGCTTTTCAGATCGAGCGTTGAAAACCATTTCATGCCACTCAGTGTGTCAAGTGTGTCATCGATTCTTGGTAACGGGTAGCTATCCTTCTTGGTTACATCATTCAATCGTCGATAGTCTACGCAAAACCTCGTTGAACCATCTTTCTTCTTGACAAGCACGACAGGTGAACACCAAGGGCTAGAAGAGGGCTCTATCACGTCATTTTTCCTCATATCGTCAATCATTTGTTCAACCTCTTTCTCACGAGCGAATGGTATACGTCTGGGCCTTTGACGAATTGGCATTGTATCACCTGTATTTATTTTATGCTTCACCAAACCAGTTCGGCCAATATCACCATCGCTTCTTGAAAACACATCAGAGAATCGAAGGAGTAAATTTCTAGCTTTCATAGTCTCCACTTTTGTCAGACTTTTGTTTTCGTCTAAGATTTTCGTTACAAAGTCTATTCCCGTACTGTCCTTCTTCACAAGATTCTCCGAGCATTTTCTTATCCAGGCCACTTCTTCCAAAACGCCCACAGGCTCTCCTTCTTCAATCGTAATTTTTGAATCACTGAAGTTGAATACCGGAATGCGGTTGACATCAGATGACCCCACGACAGTCCTTGCCGGTAGCCATGAGTTTACGTGTTCCGATTTATCAATCACAGCGCACCTTCGAGGTAAACTTCCTCCACTCCTCCTAGGTAATGCGATTGGTACGAGAGTCTGTGATTTTGGTTCAAGAACAGTTCTTTTTAAACAGCAAACTTTTCCCAGGGTTCCACCCTTCATCGGAATTTCCTCAGTTCCACATAGTAATACTCCAGATTTTAAGTCGATGTTACACTGGTGCCCTTGCAGGAAGTCAAGTCCCAGGATGCAGTCATCCAGAATTTTGGCCACAATAACCTCATGTCGATAAACACGTTCCCCAATTTTGATTGTTACGTGCAGTTTTCCACTTATCGGTATCCACTGGCCGGTAGCTGATTTCATTCGTAGGCCAACAATTGGTTTAACGTGTTTCCTGATGTTTTGCCCGAGCAGCCGAACATTTATCACCGTCCTTGAAGCTCCAGTATCTAATGTTAGCTGACTGTTTTTCCCATTTACTTGACCGTCTATCACCAGAGTATTTCCATCGTTAGTTTGCTTGATGTAGATTGTTGGGGTTATTCCACTATCGGCCAGCGCCCACCCCGCAGCCCTGGCTGGAATTAGTTTCCCTGCTGGTCAGAAGTTGAGACCGCCGCGTCCTGGCGGTTCACCTTCTTCGGGCAGTTGCTCCGCATGTGCCCACGCTCTCCGCATCCATAGCACATGAAGTTCCGACGGCGTGGAGGTACCTGCTCCGTAGTCGTCATTTCCCGCAGACATAAGGTACGGGAGTTACCACGCACAGCTTCCACTTCCAATGCATGGGCCAGAGCTTCTTTCATGTTCTTGTGATGGCCCAGATGAACAGCAGCTCGTACTTCGGGGTCCCGAATACCGTCAATGAACGCTTGGAGAAGCGTGCCTTCAATCATTGACGGAGTCGACCGGAAAGCTCGACGCACAAGTTTCTCGATTTCCACGGACCATTGCTGTAGGCTCTCATTAGCACGCTGAGTACGCTCTTTTAATTGCGCTCTGTACACGTGCTCGAGGTGGCTGTCTCCAAAACGTGCCTCAAGTGCGTCGAGGAGGGCACTTAAGCTAAGATCCCCACTTGCGCCGATAGCTTCCAGCACTGAGAGCGCTTGATCACGGAGGGCCAGGGTGAGGGCTGACTGTGCTTCCTTCTGAGTCCAACCATAAGCCTCCATAAGTGTCTCAAACTGTAGCTTGAACGCGTTCCAGGATGTTGTTCCGTCGTAATGGGGAATCTTGAGCCCTTTCGTTGCGCTTGAGGCCACATTTGGGGCGTCAAAAACGGCTGCAAGACGGCTTCGGCTCTTCAAAGGGCTTGGGCTTGTCACTTCCTGCTTGATTTTGGAGATCTCTTCTTTCACTCTCTCCTCTATCGCCATGACGCGATGTTCCAACTTGCCTAACCCTTCCTCCACTTCTTGTACCCGTTCGACAGCCTTTTGCAGTCCCTTCGTGAAATCCTTATGCATCTCTTCCAAGCGACGCGCTTGCTCCTCTTGGCGGCGAGCTTGATCCTCTTGGCGACGAGCTTGATCTTCTTTCAGCTCCCGTAGCTGTTCCGCCTGACAGCGTGCTTGCTCTTCTTGGCGGCGCGCTTGCTCTTCTTGGCGGCGCGCTTGCTCTTCTTGGCGGCGCGCTTGCTCTTCTTTCAGCTCCCGCAGCTGTTCTGCCTGACAGCGCGCTTGCTCTTCTTGGCGGCGCGCTTGCTCTTCTTGGCGGCGCGCTTGCTCTTCTTGGCGGCGCGCTTGCTCTGCCATCATTTGCTGCAGCTGTAGCAGAAGATCCACCTGCACAGGCTTGGCTTCTGCATCGCTGGTTTGAGCTGCAGCACCCTCTTCCCTCACACGCTGCGCTTCTGACATTGCACGGGTACTCACTCCTCTTACGTCCTGCGGCACTAGCGGCATTTTTCTCCAATCCCACTTCTGACACCAAATGTTACGTGCCTGACGTCACGTTCCTGAATATGCGGGCTTGGGTTACGGGATTGGATGAAATGAAACACTAATACCGGTTTTCAGACTTTCTATTGCACTTAAGTTACAGCATCCACGGAGTTAAGTTATCGGCGTTCTTCTGCAGCAGAGTCCGGCCGACTGACACAACTTTGCCGTTCACGCTGATTTAACTCACTTAACTGACTGCACTTCACTATTTCACTGCACTTCACTATTTCACTCACTTTTCTTCTTTTCCACTTCTTCCTTTTCTTCCGAATCGCTTTAGACTTAGAACTCAACTGCCAGCGGTGAGCCGCAGTTCCGCTTATATACCCCCGGTCAGGTTCTAGAACATTCAATTTCGTTATTCTTTTTGATCGTCATGCCTCCAGAACCTTCCAATAATTTCGTTATTCATTTTTATTTATTCTCCTTCTCGCTCCTTAATTTTTCATTTCTTTCACTCAAATAATTCCAGAAAGTTCGACAAAACTTCCATCAACTAAAAAACTTCATGTTTACGGCGGGACTCGAACTCGGGGTCTCTGTGGTGTAATCCACACGCCTTACCGATTACACCAACTCGTGTTGACAATTCACGACGAAATTTACAATCTCTAGGCAACGTTTGACAACCATCCCTTGACGTCATGATGTCAAAGAGTTTTCCGTCACACTATGTATTACATAATAATATAAAAATGAATCGCAAAATATGTTTTTTTTTTATATAATAGACCGGCAAACGAGCATACGGATTACCTGATGGTAAGCAATCAGCGCCGCCCATGGACACCCGCAACGAAGGAGTTACGAATGCGTTGCCGACCTCTTAGGGATTAATGTGTTGGAGATTAAGGGATTGGGGAGGGATCGGGGGAGGGGAAGTATTGGGCCTCCGGTAACCTCACTCACACGGCAAAACACAACACTGTGGTTGTTTATATGTGCTAAAAGTTTCCAAGTTCTTTTTACTTTGCATGAAATATATATACCTATATAAATAATCGTTAATTTCTTTAACTAAATTAATTGCTTTTGTCTTTAACAAATACCTAAGCAAATTCCGACTAGACTCGGACTCCAAAAGCAATAATACGAAGTAATCTTAGTGCGATACCGATCACCTTACTATCGCATACTACTGCCAAACACGCCAGGCCAACTTGCATTCAAACACAGCTATTGTGTGTATCAAAGGGACCTCAATATATCTAAAGGCTTTCCATTATATTATTGCAGTCAATATTAGGAAAACTCACACCTGAATAATCTTCGATTGATAAGGTGATAGTTAAAGGAAATTGGGGTTCGGACAAACGAGCAGTAGGATTACCTGATGGTAAGCAATCAGCGCCGCCCGTGGACATTCATGAGTGATACCAAAAGAGTTACTACAAGTGCGTTGCCGGCCTCTTGTGGGTTATTGTGGATATTTTTTTTAATTTTTATTTATTTATTTAAAAAAAAACGTTGCCCCACACTAGGGGTTTCTCCTGTGTTGTGGGTGCGTTTACAAACATACAATTTCACATGCCCCAGACCCGGAACAACAATCTGTGGATCACACAAAGAGTTGTTCCGTGCGGAAATCGAACCCGCGACGAGTTGCGCGGCAGCCAGATGCCCAGCCACCGCGCGAACCGTGCAGTCACTATCATTTAAGGATAGGGTATTTGAGGATTGAGGATGGGAGGGAAGCATTGGACCTCAGTTAGCCCTACTCATACGGCGAAACATAACCTAAGTATTTCTTCACGCCGGTTTTATGTGAGACCGTGGTATCACTCCGGTCGAGTCAGCGCATTCGTGCCGAAGCATGGCTCTTCCAGTCGTAGTCTTTAGTAAGTCGATAGTAGTGTCTATATAGTAGTCCACCAATCAATGATTTTTTTTAAAAGTCAAATTAGCAGCTTTTTCATGTCAAAAAAAGACAAACTCAGAGATCAGTCTCATTCAAAGTCCAGACAATTAAAAAATAACGTGTGAATAGATTAGGTTAAAGACACTACAGTTTTTTTTTTTTGTTATCCTAAAATAATTCTTATTTAAGGCGTATTTAAGTTTGTTTAGGAGTACGCTACGTTACTACTAAGTAGAAAATGTTATGAATTCAGACGATACAGGTACCATAATACATCGTTGAAAAAAATGTATTCCATAAGAGTGCCTCCACACTACGTCCGATCCGAAAAAGTGAAATACAGGTCTAGAAAAGTCGGACAGAATTCGGATAATCCTTGAAAAATCGCATGACGGATGACGGAATCTATCATACAAATAGTTGTCCGTCTTTGGCGAACTATATTTGCACGAAAATCTGGACTTGTCTCAAATTATTTTAATTTGAAATCGGTAATCGCCATGAATAATTATCATTCTTTTTTTAGGAAAAAGGGTTCTTTTTCGAGCCGTGGGACTGTTATAATTTATCTAATGATGATTATGAAGATGACGGTGAAACTTAGAAAGCCTTTACTTGTTCCACTTGTAACTGCTAGAGAAATCTTAAATCTTTTCTTAATTAAACAAACAAGAACCCGAACATAAAACTAGCCAAAACAACACCATCAAAGCACGACCTCAATTTCTTTCTTACTCCAATTCCAAATCTGGCTTATCCCACACATAACCTAAACATTAGAAACTTATAAATACGGTAGACATTGTCTAAATATTTGAAAATGTACCGTTGCTATCTCCTGGAAGCTTGCCAACGTTTAAATACTGCAAAATCATCTTGCAAATGCTGTTCCAATATCGTTCAAGCTCCATATTACAGCTGAAATGTAATGCACTAAATGAGAATATTGAATGTACTTGTTAATAATGAATTTTTGTAGGTCGAGTTTTCTAAGTGATTTGGCAGTTTATTATTGACTTTGTTGATCTATAAGTAGAACAAGGACGTAGAACCTATCCTTCCTAGGAATCCGACTTAGGAAATCATCCAATGACTTACTTTCATGACTAAAAAACCAAACCCGTGGCTTTTCCTGCTCCGAATCAGGCTGTGGTATGTACATTATTGCTTGGACCCGCAGCACCGGCTGGGCATTGGCCCTAGTATTTTTGTTTATTTCAACTAAATCATAAAGAGCTACTTTTGAAACGTCAAAATAGAATTGTAGTCTGTCCGTCTGTTCGTCAGTGAAGCTAGGTGCTTGTCAAATGCCATCCTTTCGATGGTTTGGCGATGTATGTAATAGTTAAAAATTGTATCTCAAATTTGTATTTAATTATAACGTTTTACGTAAAACATTTCCTCATAATCATCACCAGCAGCAGCCTGATTCCGTACACAGCTGGACGTAAGCCTCACCAATTGTCTCTCTGCGAATATCGTCAGTCCAGCTGCGTCCTAACACTAAGTTTGCCAAGTCGTGGTGACTTCTCCAAAACTAGACTAGACTTTAATATTGAAATTGAAACGAATTAATTATTCGATTTTTAATAAAAAAAAACCATTCTAGCCAAAAATTACATGTCGATCCAGACATACATTAGCTAATCAACAGATATAACACCAAAAACGAAACCAAATCAAATATGAAGAAAAAAATACAAACAATCTTTTGCACCGTATATTTTTTATCAAAGCTGTCGCGACGGACATCGTGCACGGACAGACAGAAAGCTTACGTTTGATGCAGCTTATTTTGTAGCAGACTTTAATTAGTTAAAAGCTTAACTAATCTTTAAAATTGCTAAGACAGGGACTAATGCTGTTAATAAAAAGGAAACAGAGTAATGGACGTAACGGAATTAGTTGTGTGTCTGGACAAATACACATGGGGTTTGATCTTGATTCTTTTAAGATTTAAAAGCAAGAATTCTTTTCCTAAACTCCCCTTACTTAACATCTTTTTTGTGGGGGGGAAATCATCAAAAGACTTGTCTCGCCCAGAATGAGGCAAGAGGTATGATCTTTTTACCCACTTTAAAATGAATATCATAAACTTTCTTTGTTTCCATAATATCTATTTGGCATGAATTGTTCTGTATTTTTAATTAATATGTAGCTAGCAGGCCCAGCCACGCGTTACTGTGGCTTAGGTTCTTGTCGTACTACATATGGACAAATAATTTGCAATAAAATAATAATATTTTGATTATAAATTGAGATGTAAGCTATCCTATCTTTCAATTTGGATCAAAATGCACACGGAATGCAAATCAAATTTAAAATCGGTTTAGTAGTTTAGGTGACAAAGATGTGACACGAAATTTTTATATATAAGGATGACTTAGTTTTCTAATAACTTTTTATCTTTAGCAACCAGAGTAGAAATTTTTCACCAAAACACACAGAACTCGGTTCGGTGCCTTATTGTAAACTATTATAGAACAAAATAAATATAATAGCATATTATATTATTTATACATAAAAATAATATGTTATATTATAATAAAATTAAATAATATTATATATGTCGCAGTGTTAATAACAAAACGCTCACTACGTCATCTCTTAAGAACACGTTGAACTATTTTTGGTTTATAGGTATTCAAAATAGATGGCCCTGTAAGGTTTTATTCAGACTAGTATTATTAGTATCTGTCGGTATGACAGCGACTTCACTCACTACTCAATCATTCAGCTATGATGGGTGCGTTCGTTCGCGCATCTATGGACGGTCACTTTCGAATGCTAAGCTGAAGAACCTGTCAATCCGATTAGATCTGCGGTGTGACTTGTTATTTAAATAATTTAAGATTGGTAATTGAATATACGTGTGCTGTACAATTATCTGGAGCCTTATTTTTGAATTCTGCAACGATGGATGATGATAGGAGTGCACATGTCAACCTGACAACAGAGGACGACCCGTCATATAAAATATGTTATACATAAAAATTATATTATAGCATATGTTATACTATCAGTCAACAAAGTATCGGGAATGAATGTTTTTTTTTATGGTTCCAAATTCGAATTTGATTTTTTTTTGTTGTTGTTAGATTGGCATAACTGTTGTCCATTTTGGCGCGGAATTTGAGTTGCATCTGTTATTTATATTAAAAACAGTGCTGTTTTTAGTTTTATAATATCTAGTGTGTATTGCGAATTTCATAATGGACAAAAACATCGAACAAAGAGTTTGTCTTAAATTTTGCATCGCCAATGAAATTTCGTGTTCGGAGGCACTCAAAATGTTACAGAAGGCTTACGGTGAATCGACTTTATCAAAAACACGTACTTATGAGTGGTACAAAGCGTTCAAAAGCGGTCGAGATGTGATGGAAGATTTGCCTCGTTCTGGTAGGCCATCAACGTCTGCAACTGAAGTTAACATCGCAAAAGTGAAGGAAATAGTGACTGAAAATCCTCATTCAAGTTTGAGAGAGATGGCCGCCGAACTTTCTGTATCTCACGAGTCGATCCGTACCATTTTAACAAATAATTTGGGTATGAAACGTGTTGCCGCTCGGCTAGTCCCAAAAGACCTGAATTTTCTTCAAAAACTAAATCGCATGAAAGTCGCTGAGGACATGCTAGAACGAGTCAATACCAACCCAACATTCATGAAACGCATTGTTACTGGTGACGAGACGTGGGTTACGAGTTTGACATGCAAACTAGTCAACAAGCTTCGGAATGGCGCCTTCCAACTGAACCAAACCGAAAAAACCACGTAAAAGTCGATCAAAAGTCAAAGTCATGTTGACTGTTTTCTTTGACTATCGCGGTGTTATGCACTCAGAATTCAGTGACTACATCGTGTTTGGACTTAATTCATTTATATCGATGAAAACTTTGCACCTATTGGGGTTACAATGAAGTTATGCAGTAAATCTGATGATGGAGCCGGGAAAACGTCGTGAGATCTATTTGTCTACTGACTTTGGAGTAATAATGTTGTGTTTGAACTTAATTAATTTATATTGATGAGAACTTTGCACCTATATGGATTATGTATAATGAAGGTCTGCAGTATACCTATATGACCATTGACAGTCGAGTGGATTGCTTAACGAACGTGACGTGAAGGTGAAGGTGAAGGTGAAGGTGAAGGTGAAGGTGAAAGTGAACGTGAAGTGAAAGTGAAGGTGAAGGTGAACGTGAAGTGAAAGTGAAGGTGAACGTGAAGTGAAAGTGAAGGTGAAGGTGAAGTAAACGTGACGTGAAGGTGAAGGTGAAGGTGAAGGTGAAGGTGGAGTGAACGTGACGTGAAGGTGAAGGTGAAGGTGAAGGTGAAGGTGAAAGTGAACGTGAAGTGAAAGTGAAGGTGAAGGTGAACGTGAAGTGAAAGAGAAGGTGAACGTGAAGTGAAGGTGATGGTGAAGGTGAAGGTGAAGGTAAAGGTGAAGGTGAAGGTGAAGGTGAAGGTGAAGTTGAAGGTGAAGGTGAAGGTGAAGGTGAAGGTGAAGGTGAAGGTGAAGGTGAAGGTGAAGGTGAAGGTGAATGTGAAGTGAACGTGACGTGAAGGTGAAGGTGAAGGTGAAGGTGATGGTGAAGGTGAAGGTGAAGTTAAAGGTGAATATGATAGTGAACGTGACGTGCAGGTGAAGGTGAAGTTAAAGGTGAATGTGATAGTGAACGTGACGTGAAGGTGAAGGTGAAGTGAACGTGACGTGAAGGTGAAGGTGAAGGTGAAGGTGGAGTGAACGTGACGTGAAGGTGAAGGTGAAGGTGAAGGTGAAGGTGAAAGTGAACGTGAAGTGAAAGTGAAGGTGAAGGTGAACGTGAAGTGAAAGTGAAGGTGAACGTGAAGTGAAAGTGAAGGTGATGGTGAAGGTGAAGGTGAAGGTAAAGGTGAAGGTGAAGGTGAACGTGAACGTGAAGGTGAAGGTGAAGGTGAAGGTGAAGGTGAAGGTGAAGGTGAAGGTGAAGGTGAAGGTGAAGGTGAAGGTGAAGGTGAAGGTAAAGGTGAAGGTGAAGGTGAAGGTGAAGGTGAAGGTGAAGGTGAAGGTGAAGGTGAAGGTGAAGGTGAAGGTGAAGGTGAAGGTGAAGGTGAAGGTGAAGGTGAAGGTGAAGGTGAAGGTGAAGGTGAAGGTGAAGGTGAAGGTGAAGGTGAAGGTGAAGGTGAAGGTGAAGGTGAAGGTGAAGGTGAAGGTGAAGGTGAAGGTGAAGGTGAAGGTGAAGGTGAAGGTGAAGGTGAAGGTGAAGGTGAAGGTGAAGGTGAAGGTGAAGGTGAAGGTGAAGGTGAAGGTGAAGGTGAAGGTGAAGGTGAAGGTGAAAGTGAACGTGAAGTGAAAGTGAAGGTGAAGGTGAACGTGAAGTGAAAGTGAAGGTGAAGGTGAAGTGAACGTGAAGTGAACGTGAAGTGAACGTGAAGTGAAAGTGAAGGTGAAGGTGAAGGTGAAGTGAACGTTTTCATTCAGGTAAATAGAAAATTATGTGAAGTGTAGTGTGTAGTGAAGGTGAAGTCGAAGGTGAAGGTAAGGTGAAGGCGAAGGTGAAGTCGAAGGTGAAGGTGAAGTTAAAGGTGAACGTGAAGTTAAAGGTGAATGTGATAGTGAACGTGACGTGAAGGTGAAGGTGAAGGTGAAGGTGAAGGTGAAGGTGAAGGTGAACGTGAACGTGGAGTGAACGTGAAGGTGAAGTGAACGTGAAGTGAAAGTGAAGGTGAAGGTGAACGTGAAGTGAAAGTGAAGGTGAAGGTGAAGTGAACGTGAAGTGAAGGTGAAGGTGAAGGTGAACGTGATGTGAAAGTGAAGGTGAAGGTGAAGTGAACGTGAACGTGACGTAAAGGTGAAGGTGAAGGTGAAGGTGAAGGTGAAGGTGAAGGTGAAGGTGAAGGTGAAGGTGAAGGTGAAGGTGAAGGTGAAGGTGAAGGTGAAGGTGAAGGTGAAGGTGAAGTTGAAGGTGAAGGTGAAGGTGAAGGTGAAGGTGAAGGTGAAGGTGAAGGTGAAGGTGAAGGTGAAGGTGAAGGTGAAGGTGAAGGTGAAGGTGAAGGTGAAGGTGAAGGTGAAGGTGAAGGTGAAGGTGAAGGTGAAGGTGAAGGTGAAGGTGAAGGTGAAGGTGAAGGTGAAGGTGAAGGTGAAGGTGAAGGTGAAGGTGAAGGTGAAGGTGAAGGTGAAGGTGAAGGTGAAGGTGAAGGTGAAGGTGAAGGTGAAGGTGAAGGTGAAGGTGAAGGTGAAGGTGAAGGTGAAGGTGAAGGTGAATATGATAGTGAACGTGACGTGAAGGTGAAGGTGAAGTTAAAGGTGAATGTGATAGTGAACGTGACGTGAAGGTGAAGGTGAAGTGAACGTGACGTGAAGGTGAAGGTGAAGGTGAAGGTGAAGGTGAAAGTGAACGTGAAGTGAAAGTGAAGGTGAAGGTGAACGTGAAGTGAAAGTGAAGGTGAAGGTGAAGTGAACGTGAAGTGAACGTGAAGTGAAAGTGAAGGTGAAGGTGAAGGTGAAGGTGAAGGTGAAGGTGAAGGTGAAGGTGAAGGTGAAGGTGAAGGTGAAGGTGAAGGTGAAGGTGAAGGTGAAGGTGAAGGTGAAGGTGAACGTGAGCGTGAACGTGAACGTGAACGTGAATGTGAAGTGAACGTGAAGGTGAAGGTGAAGTGAACGTGACGTGAAGGTGAAGTTGAAGGTGAAGGTGAAGGTGAAGGTGAAGGTGAAGGTGAAGGTGAAGGTGAAGGTGAAGGTGAAGGTGAAGGTGAAGGTGAAGGTGAAGGTGAAGGTGAAGGTGAAGGTGAAGGTGAAGGTGAAGGTGAAGGTGAAGGTGAAGGTGAAGGTGAAGGTGAAGGTGAAGGTGAAGGTGAAGGTGAAGGTGAAGGTGAAGGTGAAGGTGAAGGTGAAGGTGAAGGTGAAGGTGAAGGTGAAGGTGAAGGTGAAGGTGAAGGTGAAGGTGAAGGTGAAGGTGAAGGTGAAGGTGAAGGTGAAGGTGAAGGTGAAGGTGAAGGTGAAGGTGAAGGTGAAGGTGAAGGTGAAGTTAAAGGTGAACGTGAAGTTAAAGGTGAATGTGATAGTGAACGTGACGTGAAGGTGAAGGTGAAGCTGAAGGTGAAGGTGAAGGTGAAGTTAAAGGTGAACGTGAAGTTAAAGGTGAATGTGATAGTGAACGTGACGTGAAGGTGAAGGTGAAGGTGAAGGTGAAGGTGAAGGTGAAGTGAAAGTGAAGGTGAAGGTGAAGTGAACGTGAAGTGAAAGTGAAGGTGAAGGTGAAGGTGAAGGTGAAGGTGAAGGTGAAGGTGAAGGTGAAGGTGAAGGTGAAGGTGAAGGTGAAGGTGAAGGTGAAGGTGAAGGTGAAGGTGAAGGTGAAGGTGAAGGTGAAGGTGAATATGATAGTGAACGTGACGTGAAGGTGAAGGTGAAGTTAAAGGTGAATGTGATAGTGAACGTGACGTGAAGGTGAAGGTGAAGTGAACGTGACGTGAAGGTGAAGGTGAAGGTGAAGGTGAAAGTGAACGTGAAGTGAAAGTGAAGGTGAAGGTGAAGGTGAACGTGAAGTGAAAGTGAAGGTGAAGGTGAAGTGAACGTGAAGTGAACGTGAAGTGAAAGTGAAGGTGAAGGTGAAGGTGAAGTGAACGTTTTCATTCAGGTAAATAGAAAATTATGTGAAGTGTAGTGTGTAGTGAAGGTGAAGTCGAAGGTGAAGGTAAGGTGAAGGCGAAGGTGAAGTCGAAGGTGAACGTGAAGTTAAAGGTGAATGTGATAGTGAACGTGACGTGAAGGTGAAGGTGAAGGTGAAGGTGAAGGTGAAGGTGAAGGTGAAGGTGAAGGTGAAGGTGAAGGTGAAGGTGAAGGTGAAGGTGAAGGTGAAGGTGAAGGTGAAGGTGAAGGTGAAGGTGAAGGTGAAGGTGAAGGTGAAGGTGAGGTGAAGGTGAAGGTGAAGGTGAAGGTGAAGGTGAAGGTGAAGGTGAAGGTGAAGGTGAAGGTGAAGGTGAAGGTGAAGGTGAAGGTGAAGGTGAAGGTGAAGGTGAAGGTGAAGGTGAAGGTGAAGGTGAAGGTGAAGGTGAAGGTGAAGGTGAAGGTGAAGGTGAAGGTGAAGGTGAAGGTGAAGTGAAAGTGAAAGTGAAGGTGAAGGTGAACGTGAAGTGAAAGTGAAGGGGAAGGTGAAGTGAACGTGACGTGAAGGTGAAGGTGAAGGTGAAGGTGAACGTGAAGTGAAAGTGAAGGTGAAGGTGAAGTGAACGTGAACGTGACGTAAAGGTGAAGGTGAAGGTGAAGGTGAAGGTGAAGGTGAAGGTGAAGGTGAAGGTGAAGGTGAAGGTGAAGGTGAAGGTGAAGGTGAAGGTGAAGGTGAAGGTGAAGGTGAAGGTGAAGGTGAAGGTGAAGGTGAAGGTGAAGGTGAAGGTGAAGGTGAAGGTGAAGGTGAAGGTGAAGGTGAAGGTGAAGGTGAAGGTGAAGGTGAAGGTGAGGCGAAGATAGAGATAGAGATAGAGATAGAGATAGAGATAGAGATAGAGATAGAGATAGAGATAGAGATAGAGATAGAGATAGAGATAGAGATAGAGATAGAGATAGAGATAGAGATAGAGATAGAGATAGAGATAGAGATAGAGATAGAGATAGAGATAGAGATAGAGATAGAGATAGAGATAGAGATAGAGATAGAGATAGAGATAGAGATAGAGATAGAGATAGAGATAGAGATAGAGATAGAGATAGAGATAGAGATAGAGATAGAGATAGAGATAGAGATAGAGATAGAGATAGAGATAGAGATAGAGATAGAGATAGAGATAGAGATAGAGATAGAGATAGAGATAGAGATAGAGATAGAGATAGAGATAGAGATAGAGATAGAGATCAATTACAATCTGGCAGTCCTTCATTAGTTGTCGTGAATTTATTGTTGTGAATTTATAAATAAAATTTATTTTTACCTGACCTCGTAATGATAAGCAATCGGCGCTGTTAATTGTTCATAGTGAAGGTACACCACCTAAAAAGGTCCCAGTGTGCGCCAGCCCTTTGGGGTTGCCATCGTAAGCGCCGGTCTGTGGACAGCGAGCAAAGATAGCTTATATATATAAATATGAAATAATAATAAATAAATTGACTTTTTGATTGAGTAAATTAATTGAAATTAATAATATATAAATTAAAATGCAAATGCTTACGTAATGGTAAGCTTTTGCATTCGTAATCAGGTTTTTAAACGTTGCCCCACACTTGTATTTTCTCCTGTGTCGTGGGTGCGTTTAGAAATATACAAATTCATATACACACCACACCCAGACCCAGAACAACAATTTGTGGATCAACCTAAGAGTTTTTCCGTGTGGGAATCGAAGCCGCGACACGTTGCACCGCAGCCAGTTGCCAAGCCACCGCACCAACCGTGCAGTCAAATTTATAAATTCGTTGTTCTCTTTCGAACACACATTGTCAAATTTTATGCGGAGGATTATAGAAAACTAATGAGTGACTACCAGATTATAATAAATTTTATCTCCTGTGGTCGGGACTTATGAGGCTTAGAGTTCCTTCTATATAAATTAGTAAGTAAAACCCGGTTATTAATGATATCGTGGGTCCGTGATGATTATAATGACACAAAAGGGACAGGATTACCGTGAAATATAACTTTAAGTACTTCATTTCGTTTGCGTACTCGTTAGCCAGGTTTTGAGGTTAGAATAATTTTATTTGTTTTATTGTAGTCCAAATTAAATTTATGTCCAATAGCTATATCAAAAATTTGACAAAATTTTAATTATTAAATGTCTTCCGGATACACTGTAATGAGCATTACTTTTTTTATAAACAAATGAATTAATATTAAACTGAACGATATAAGAAACAAAAGAAAATTTAAGTTTTACATTTTCTTTTCTTTTTAGTTTAAAAGCTATTTTAAGATAAACTATACTCAAAGAGATCAGATCAAAATAATCCTCTTTTCTAAATCAAATCACATTTTTTTTTTGTTTTAAATTAATAAATAATTTGTGTCGTAATAAAATGTTTATCTATACTAATATTATAAATGAAATTCTTACCGTCTAAACTACTGAACCGATTTTTGTGAAATTTGGTACAGACATAGTTTGGAACTCGAAAAAGGACATAAGATAGCTTTTATACCAAAAATCTGCAGGACGTCACTATTACACGCGAACAGAGTCGCGGGCAAAAGCTAGCTTATTATAAAAAGGGAGATTTTAAAGATTACATCATAGGTCGGCAAACGAGCTGACGGTCCCTGATGGTAAGCAATCATCACCGTCCATGATCACTCGTAATAAAAAAACAGTTACTACTATGTTTAAGGAGGTACTTCTACTTAATTTGGCAGCTTACAATCATTTCTCAGACCAAAAATAAATAAAAAGTGATCGCTCTCATCTCATCCCATGCAAATTCTCCGCTGGTCCGAGTTCTCACCATGCTCAATTCTCTCCTGATGTCAGCGCCAGATTGTGATTTGTTTGCAATGGGATGGATAGATCTGTGTCGTGAATGCCTTAGATATTGTGAGAGGATGGATGATAGGTAGGTAAACTATAATGTTGATTTTTTTTTAGTTAAAGATTACTTATATGATCACCAATCTTGTTATTCAGTCGTATTAAGTACTTTTATTTTGTTTTTTAAATTTGTATTATTAATCTTGTATTTAATCCTAATTAGTTTTTTTTTAAGTACCTAGATATATATAGTATTTATATAAAATTAACAATACAACTTAATGGCGTAAGCTGTAATGTTGTATATGTAAATATTCTTAATATAAATAAATAAATAAATCTCTTCTGTCTCTGTCTTAAAAAGCACGTGTATAAATCGGGCATGCAATATAAACATTTTTGTCCTCCAACCACCAGCTGCAACTTTGAGGGGTGGAAAACTTTCAGCACTTTCTATTTACCTTCGTTCCTTTTTAGGGTAGCTCCACCACATCAGATAGGGGAACCAAATGTGTTGATGAAGTACGTGTGCCTGGCCAGCAGAAACTAAATACAAAGTGTAATAAAACTTCGTGGGCTTATTGAGAGATTGTATTTTAAAGCTGAAAATGAAAGTGTTTTAAAGGCACTTCAGCTGGGTGGGTTTTATAAATTTATATGGTACAAGCTACTCTCGCGCGGTTTCACCCGTTGCTCATCTCCATTTGATCGTAGCGTGATGTTTTATACATATAGCACTCAGGAACATTGTAGCTAGTGAAAAAATTTTGGCAATCCGACCAGCGGTTCCAAATATTACCCCTACATACAAACTTACAAATTTTATCTCTTTATAATATTAGTGTATAGATAAACATTTTTGAGTTGTTTGAATCAAGTAGGATGATTCTACTTAGTTTATATTATACAAGAGTGGATGGACGTTTTGTAACTCTTTCGCGTAAAAACTACTTAATGAATCTGAATGAAATTCGGCGTTTATACATATCATTATTGTTTGGGACATGGAGACATGCAATTAAATTGAAAATTATATTCGATATCAGACAACGAACAGAACTGTCATTTTGAAAAGAGACTCTAAAAAATAATTTAGTTAATTTTAGTTGTTTATCAATCAATCAATCAATCAATGAGCTCTCAAATCAAATCAAATCAAATTCTTGATTTCAAATAGACCAAAAAAGGCACTTTTGAACGTCAAGCAAAAAAGATATCATAAGGTTTAACTTTATATGTGTCAGTCTGTCCGTCTGTCCTCTAGTGAAGCTATTTGCTCGTTCCAAAGTGAAGATTCCTATGGAGAAGAACGAGCAAGAAACTCCATGGTTACTCTTTTTCAATCACTTTTTACAATGCATAGTGTTTAGTTTATAAATGAACCTCAGGGACAGCAACTTTAGACAGTCTCGAGTTGACCAGTCCCAATAGGCGGCGTCCGTTCACGAACATGACACGTACACCAGCACCGCCCAACTCAACCATATTATAGGGAACCGAGCAGTCCAGTGCCCGTGCCACCGCCAATGAGACTCCTGAGTGAGCATGACAACTCCCAACTGACACAAGTACCAATATACTATAAGTCTATAAGTCTAACTAAATTATAATACGTTACAGGGCTCTCACATTTACAAAAATCCAGTTTATCAACAATTAACAACATGGTGAATAATTTAATAATTGAGATCAAAATTCCTCTTAACCTTAACAATTTTTATCCTGTGCAGTCAAACCAGCAACCTCCAAGCATTTTTCTATCCTGAACTTCATCTGTTGTGTGTGAGGTATTTGTTTTCCTCTTTTAGAGGATATCCCTTAGTTCAGTGTGCCTTCTGGCAAAAGCCTTCTCTAACATTTTCCATTGTATCCTATCTCTGGTAACCCTTCTCCAGTAAGAGCCCGCTGTAAGTTTTAGCTCGTCTTTCCACCTTTTGAGTTGTCTTCCTCGTTTCCTTTTTCCATCTTTGGGATACCAGTCTGTCACAATTTTACTCCACTTATCCTGAGTACTCCTTAACATATGGCCCACCCATCTCCATTTTAGTTGGTCTATCTTCGTAAGGATATCCCCAATTCTTGTCTTGGATCTTATAAGGGTATTTCGTTTCCTCTCTTGCTTCTTGATGCCCAACATGCTTCTCTCCATAGCTCTTTAATAGCACTGCAGCCTATCTCTGCAAGGTATTTGCCTTTTGAGCTCCTTGTCCGTCTGATCCTTGAATGAGTCGAGAATCCTTATATATAAAAAAGGACCAAAAGAAGATATTGGAAATTATAGACCAATAAGTCTGATGTCCAACGTCTATGAGGTTTTCTCCAAAATTATTCTGGACCGCATAAGTACTAAACTAGACGAAAACCAACCAATGGAACAGCCGGGCTTTAGAAAAAACTTTGCCACAGTGAACCATATACATACTATCAAACAACTCATATAAAAATACAACGAGTATAATAAGTGTCTGTATATGACATTCGTCGATTACACCAAGGCCTTCGACAGCATTAGCCACAAAGCCCGAATCCCCAGACAATACATAAAAACCATCAAATCTATTTACTCCAACACTAAAGCAAGAATACAACTAGAAAGTTTGGGGGAGACCTTCAATATAAACATAGGTGTCAGGCAAGGGGATCCATTATCCCCCAAACTCTTCTCTGCAGTGTTGGAGAATATATCCAGAAAACTGGAATGGGACCAACTTGGTTTAAGTATAGATGGACGAAGACTAAATCACATAAGGTTCGCAGATGATATTGTCATCGTCGAAGAAAACCCCGAAAAAATTAGAAAAGATGATCCAAGACCTGAACAGAAAAAGACTAAGACCAAGCTTCTGACAAATACTGACTACCGAGTTATATCATTAAAAAAAACGAACCTCTCGAATACGTGGAAGAGTACCTGGGACAGATTATCTCATACAAGGATTAGTTGTTTATAAAGTTTTCAAACTCCGAGCTAATCACTCTGTAATAAAATAAAAGAAATACTTATTAAATTATTCTTCATCACATACATATTTGTGACGTTGTGAATATATTTTCAGTCCGTTTCCTTATAAAAAGGAACAAGTTTACGCTTCAGCTTTTTTAAAATACTTAATTTAATAATACATAATTTTTTCTATAGATATTTTCGTAACAATTCATAACATAACGTAATAATTATAATATGCATGTGTAAAGAAAAGTATATGTACACAATTAATACTATCTACTTTTAATCTAAAGGTACCACGAAAAACAAATGAAAGAGCATCCATCCAATAACCTTTACTTAATCCAAACCCACATCGGAACAATCAAAGGAAAGTTTGGCACAAAAGAAAGTAAACAGGACTCCTCATTGGAAAGTTAGCTAGTTAACGCCGAAATAGGGGATCGCTGGCCAACCAATATAACAAACTTTGTCCAAC